AGTTCTAGATGGGCTGTATTGAGTGTGAGTTTCTTATTCTCATACAATATATATGACCACTGCTAGTTTGTTAACTGTCTCCCTAATTCCGATTCCCATGCTTTTACAAATTGTAGTGTATGTGGATCTAGCGATCGATGATGGTGATTGTACAGTGTGGAAATTAGTGTGGCGAAACCGACCTCGCCACTGGGCATTGGAGAAGACTGATTGCCAGCCTCCTGCCATGTGACTATGGCCCATGGGATGTATTGCCCTTTAAAGACAAGATTTGGGCATAATGGATTTGTGTTGTGCTGCTGCTGGCCCTTTAAGAACCATCTGGGGATATACTGTGGAGTTACTGGGTGGCCACCATTTCCTGTATCAGACGCACATGGTGAGAACAATGGATGGTGGCCATTTTAACTCACAGACACTGTTTGGACTTTTCAACACGGTGCCATCTCGCCAGTATTTGGTGCACAGAGACATCGTGCAGTGGTTTTGGACTATACAGCAGGGGACACATTATACAGTGATTGTTTTTCCTTTAGCCTGTATATGTTCTGCAGAATCTGCATTAAACTGTATTTTCCAAAGTACTGAACAGATCTGGGTGAATTTTGGATATGTGGTTCACCCAGATCCCCCGGTTCCAAGGATATACATATATATTTTTATGGGGTTATTGCATGTTTTGGGGTCCCTGTGATGTGTTTTATGAAACTGTATTTCTCTGTCTGTGATAATTAGATTACTCATTGTGTTCAGTAATCATATCACAGGCAGAGGGGAGGATTTTGTGTGGGAGTGTCTGTGTGTATTGTACAGATTGATTGGTTGTTCTGTAAAACCCTGTGGGCAGTACTAAGTTTGTGGATTGGGAATAAAAGAGGCTGTATGTGCCAGTACAGTCAGTTCCTGCTTAACCCTCAAAGTGAAGCGTCGTCTCTTTATTGGGGGAGGATTTATTGTATGCTGTTCCAGTTTGACTGCTAGGAGTGTAAACCTATTCGCATGGTTTTTCCTATTCGGCTGTATACAACATTCAAATGCTTGAGAGCATTCACATGCTCCTACGGTTCGGTGGTTTTGGTGTCTGCTGCAGTGCTTGGAGTCCTCAGGAAGTGCTAGGAGCATCCTTCAACAGAGGTACCCAGTCGGGGTGCCAGGTGATCCGTTACAATTAGCTGTTTTTTTCGTCTGTGTGCAGAGACTTTCTAGTGCAGTGAAAGTTCCCCATCTGTCACCCGCAGGTAGTATGCTTTTATTTTTCTGTAACCACGAGCCTGTCTGTGTGCAAATTCGGCTGTGTTGGGTAATTGGTAAGAGTTTTGCAGTTGCCTGAATGGGATTACTTCTCCCTGATCAAACAACTGGTGTAAGTATGTTAGCCCCCTACTGTTCCAGGACGCCATGTTCAATGAAGGTATTAGTCTATAAAAGGAATCTAGGAGTAAGGCTGGAGAGAGCCCCCCATCGAGTCCCTTCTCCTTATGAAATCTGTCCCATTCTCGTAATGTTGTGGCTGTGAGTGGTGACATGTCTTTATATTTTTTCCTGAGTTGTGGAGGGGTCCAGGCTAGGTGCGTTATTTGTTGTCCCCCAGTGAATTCTGCTTCTGCGGTTACCCAAGGGGATGGTTTGTCATGTTGGTGTAGCTCGTTGACCAGCGGTGCAAGAATAGCCGATCTGTAATATGTAACTATGTGTGGTAATCCCATTCCACCTCCTTTATATGTGAGGTACATGATTTTTCTGCTATTCTGGGTTTCCTATTGGACCAGACAAAGGTATTAATCGATTGCTGTGCATCGTGGAGGAATTGTTTTGATAACCCAATTTGTAATGTGCGAAATAGGTATTGCAGTCTCGGGAGAATTTTCATTTTGACTGCAGCTATCCTACCCATCCATGATATGTATTTCCCTTTCCAATTCGTCAATTGCTGTTGTATGGATGTAAGGAGTTTGCCGTAATTCTCCCGGTGTAAATTCCTCTCTAATTTCGTAAATTTTATGCCTAAAAAGGTTAAGTGGTCTTGTCTCCATTCATAATTATATTTCTGTTGTTAAGCAGTATGCAATGTTGCGGGCGCATGTAGACACATTGCCTGCGTTTTAGAGCTATTCAATTTGTAATACGAGCAATTGCTGTATTGTTGTAAGAGAGTCTGGAGTTCTGAGATGGAGGTGAGTGGGTTAGACAAAGAGCATAACGTCGCCCACAAACATCGTTATTTTGTGTATTTTATGTTTAATTTTCACACCTCGGATTTGGCGGTTATCCCGTATGGCCTGGGCTAATGGCTCTAGCGCAAGAATAAATAGGGCTGGGGAGAGCGGACATCCTTGTTCAGCTTGCGACTGATGTAAGCCACGGGGTGTTCTCCGCCATCGGCCCAGACTTGGCTCAGTACTGCTCCCAATCCAAACATAGAAGCGTCTGTGTGCACAAGAAAACGTTTAGTTGGATTGGGAGCTGCCAAGACAGGGGCATTTATCAGTGCATTTTTCAGATGTTGGAATGCCTGCTCACACTCCGGGGTCCAGGTCACCTGGCAGGCCAAATTCTTCCGGGTCAGGTCAGTGAGGGGTTTGGCGAGGGCGCTATAGTTAGGGACGAACTTTCTGTAATACCCAGCGGTCCCTAGAAATGCTAACACCTGGGTTTTAGTCCTAGGGATGGGCCACTGGGCCACGGCCTCTACTTTGGCTGGTTCGGGCTTCTGTTTGCCGCACCCCACTCTATGTCCGAGGTACTGCACCTCGGCCATCCCTATGCTGCACTTGGCCGGTTTCAAGGTCAAACCAGCTTCCTTAATCCTGTCTAGAACCTGTCTAGAATGGGCCCTGCGGTCGGTCCTGGCATAAGGGAATAAAATACACGAAAGCCTCTAGCTATAGGACCGGGCTTGTGGAGGTCTCAGCGGTGTTCGCCTACTCGAGTATCCGATTTGAGTTCCAGACACTCGACGGCAAAACGCCGCTGTTCGGGAGTTTTAAAATGGCCGCCGTCACGTGTTCATTTGTCGAATGGCGGCCACCCCCGACAACAAAGGACGGCTACTTACTAGGCAATTACCCGTTCACAACAATGTTGCAACGGGTAATTGAGGACACACTTCACACAGGGGGGGTCTGGTTGTTCAGTAGTTTCATTCGAATGAACTAAGGGAATAAAACTACCGAACAATCAGAGGAATACAGTTCTTTTAAACACATAGAAAACCAGCAGATCACACGAATGCAGTTATTCACAAGACATTTGCAGGACAGCCCAGTGCCATCCGCTACACCCGCAAACACTAAATACTGGCCATAGACATACAATTTTCAAACCATGTCAGAACCACTCGACCATGCACTTCCGAGCCACACACCAATGCAGTTATCAAAACTGCTACCTATCTAGCCTTTAACGGCTTTCTCAGGCCAAAACAATAACTCACTATCAGCAGCCAACATCATAAACAAGAGTGCCTGTTGACCTCTTATCTTCTAAAACACACAGACCACTATGTCCGGTCCCTTCCTAAAACTAAAATGAGTCAGAGGGCCGAGCCAGTGCATATAACCTACTACCTTACAAGCAATGCTGGGTGCCCGGTTAAGGTACTGATTACGTTCTTGGGCACGCCACCATACACACCACTGAACCATTACTGTCGCTGTACGATACTGTCCTTACCACAGTTCATGCACTATGTCCACCTACTCATTCTCCGGGCTCGAACTAAACCCTAGCGACTACTTTAGGATAGGAGCAGCTTACACAGCCTATAGCCAAGACATACCCGCACACGTTAAGACACGGGGCCGTTGGGAATCATAGGCTTATGCGATTTACATACCACAGCCGATTCAGGAATTAGGAAGCTTTCATTAAAATGTCTAACTGATGGTTAACAAATGCACTACGATCCTGTATAATGTTTTGCATTAATATGTCTCTTTTTGCCCACTTTTTACCGGCCTACAGCATACGTCGGTTTCTGCACACCTCAACCGATTATTCCTAAAGCTACATCTCTACAACCCATCTTATTCTATATCATATGAGAATGCCCCGAACACAAATTGGAAGGCATGGCCTGAAGTTGTGGGAGGGGCTATAGACCTATAAAAGGGACTCCCCCCTTTCCCTACTTACCTTTGTTGGTCAGATGAATAGCCCCACTCTCCACTCCCATTGTTCATATTTCCTCTATGTAAGCCCACTTTTTACCGGCCTACAGCATACGTCGGTTTCGGCACACCTCAACCGATTATTCCTAAAGCTACATCTCTACAACCCATCTTATTCTATATCATATGAGAATGCCCCGAACACAAATATATATATACACACACACACACACACACATATATATATATAAAATGTGGCATCATAGGAAGGAGTGTAAGGATAGCGCTTCATTTAGTCCTCTGGGGGCGACTGTATCCAGTTCATATATCCAAAATGCTTCCTTGTTTAGGAGCATCTTCCCCCTTGTCACCTCCCTTGTCACCTTTTGGGCAATGGTATATGATCAATCGCCACAAATTTTAATGTGGCTAACGTGTGTCGCTTTTCCAGAAAGTGTTTCGCCACTGGTTTATCCGTGTGGCCATCCCTGTATGCTAGCCGAATACTGGACCTGTGGCCTCTGATGCGCTCACATATAGCCGTTTCCGTCTTCCCCACATAGCAAAGTCCGCACGGGCAACTTAATTTATAAACTACATGTGTAGTTTTACACGTAATTGTATACCTAATCGAATAGATTTTATTTTTATGTGGATGATTGAACGTCTTCGCCGGTGTCATATGGCTACACGTGACGCATCCTAGGCATCTTACCGATCCTCTTTTTTGTTCTTTTGACGCCTTATAATAGCTAGCTTCTGGATCCGTATGAACCAAAAGATCTTTTAAATTTTTATTTCTTTTATAACACACTACTGGTGCTTCCTTAAACACTCTTGGAAGTGTTTCATCACTTGTTAATATTTTCCAATTTTTCTTGAGTGAAGCTGCTACTTGAGGGGATGTTTGCTGATATAGCATTGGGAACACCATTCTGATGACTTGCTCTTAATTTCAACAGCGCGCATCTTCTGTGCTTCTTGAAGCGCTGTCTCGAGGATATGACAATTATATCCTCTTTGTAAGAACTTAGTCTTCATTTCTGTGATCTGAGTTTCCATAGTTTGGACATCAGAATTGTTCCTAATAACTCGCAGAAACTGCGCTTTAGGTAGTGAATTTTTAAGCGCCCTTGGGTGTGCACTTTGGTAATGAAGTATAGTGTTCCTGTCTGTAGGCTTGGTGTACAATGAATATTGTAATTTAGAAGGTCCCACTGTTATCTGTAAATCCAAGTAGTGTACTTTTTCTGCACTGATCTCTGCTGTGAATCTAACCGGTGTTTGCAATTGGTTAAGTTCTTGAACCATATTCTGTGCTTCTTCTACCAATTTATTCCAAATTATAAGCAGATCATCGATAAATTTATAGTATGACAATATATTGCTCTTGTATCGTTGCAACACCTGTTTTTCTTCATAAATGACCATATACGCATTGGCGTACATAGGAACCATGGCTGCCCCCATAGATGTACCGGCTACTTGGAGGTACCATGTATCTTCAAACCTAAAGTAGTTGTTTTGTAAAGTAAGAGTAAGGAGTTCCAACACAAACTCAATGGGAGGACCACTTGTGGCAAACCTAGCCACTTGGACATTATTAAATACATCTGTACTGTCCCTTTAAGGGTTGCAGGTATGGGGTTCATATTGTGTGTTCCAGCATGTATTGTAATGCAATGTTAATGATGTATTACCTGCCTGGGCTATCTGCCGAACGCAGATAGCTGATTCCCCTTCGTTTCACGAATGGCACCTTTGCGGGCCGTTCGGGAACCGAACGAGATATCCTTTAATAGCGTGGCGCCTATTAACCGATATCCTTTAATAATGTGGCGCCTATTAACCGATTGCAACATTGTTGCAATCGGTAATTAGAGGCTCTCCTGGGTGGCCGCCGTTCGACTACCAACCAACACAGTAAAGGAGGAGACTATATTTAAAAGAAGAAAAACTACCACAACAAGAGGACATAGTCTTAAATTAGAGGGACAAAGGTTTAAAAATAATATCAGGAAGTATTACTTTACTGAGAGGGTAGTGGATGCATGGAATAGCCTTCCAGCTGAAGTGGTAGAGGTTA